ACAGGCTCCAGTGAACAAACTGGAGGATTCCAATTTGGGTTACCTTAATATTTTACCTTCAATTTTCACTTCTCCGATCCATCCAATCAGCAGTACATATCTATTCCTTTCTCTGCATTTGATAATGTGGATCATGAAACCTATGTCAGGATAAATGCCTTCCTCTTTTATGGGCCACAAGTACTTTGGCTATCTTTCCATCCCCTAAGGACCTTTTAAGCTTGTTCAAATATTTATTTTATTCAGTATTTGTTAATTACTGGCCTTTGTGTCTGGCTTTCCCCTGCTGTAGCTCACCCATCTTTTCTTTCAACACATTGTAACTACAGCCATGCAGTGCTTATTTAGTTCTAGTGTAATGGTACACGCAATGGTACAGGCAAGATCAATAATGAGGGCAAGCTCTAATTCAGGAAAGCTGATTTAAACTCCCTGAAGAACCTCTGATAAGCTTTCAGACAATCCCAATTCCATGGATAGTTTGAAGAAAAAAAGGCATATCATGGAAGCAGAAAACTACTGAAAAAACTACCAAGGAAACATGTAAGAAGTACAAAAAGAAAAGTTCAGAAAGATCTTGTGTTTACTGAAACGGAGATAGTTATCTCAGTATCATTTTTTACAGGTTACATGCTATGAAAATGGCATGGAGTCTCACAGCATCACTGATTTTAATGGTTTATTACTGATGCTCTCTGAGGCATAAACAAGAAGTAGCGTTATGATGGAACTAGCCAGCTGTGAAGTTTTGCTCTAGAAAAAACATCCCTTTCTGGTGGCTGTTTAATGTTTATCAATGAATAGCAATTTTAAAAAAGGTGGTAGTTTGCTTGCTGCTTATATGCAATATTTCTATTCTGTAGAAATAGAGTCCAAGGATTCAAGATTATTTTTTAGCTACATTTATCTGGGGATATAAAGGAAATTAAATTAAATTAAATAAGGTCTGTGGACAGCTTCAAAGGGATGTTTTGCTTCAACAAAGCTCTGGACAATCATTCCAAAGCAGATTTTTGAATAAGAAAATCTGCTTTGGAACCGCTTTGAAGCAGCAAGTTGAATCAGAGGCCTCTGAAAAGCTTTGTAGACAGTTGAAGTGAATCATAGATTTGATGGTTTTTCTGCTAGTATTAAGCTTGCTAAAGACAATATACAATATTATAACTCTACATCCATATATGGGGAATGCACAGGAAAGATTCTGAGTGGTATGATGAAGTCTTCATCATTGATAAGTAGCTGGCCAATTTTATCACCTTATGAAATGCTTTGCCTTTGGTTTGAGTCAAGGGGTGAGATGGTAGTGCTAACACTGCTTTGGGCTTCATTCACTTTCTCAGCTCAACCTCTTTAATATAGCCCACCAGAAACCTTAACTTTGTTCGCTCTTGTGCTAGTGGAACATTATACTTGCATGCAGCAGTGTCTGTAGTGTGTGTGTGTGTGTGTGTGTGTGTGAAAACAGGCAAGATGGCCGTTTTGACACATGCACCATAGACACTGCTGCTTCCATGCTGGTCTACTAATGCAACAGGTAATCCAGCAACTCAGCTCTCAGCACTCTGAATGCTGGCACAAATCTGACCAATCTAGTATGCACTCTTGGGTCAAACTTTTCTTCTATATTCTTCATAGCTGAGGCAGACTTAAGTCTTCCAACTATGAGTGAATAGGTGCTATGCTAACAATCATAAGCACAGGTCTAAATGTTTTACAATAAGAATAGGGGAGGTCAAGGCTACAAATGTCACTTCTTCTGTGGTAGCCTCTTTCTCTATGACATTCTATCTCATTCTGCCCATCTGATTCTGCTTCCTGTGCTAATTAACAAACACAGAATATTACTATCAGTCCACAAACCTGACAAAACTGAGTCCTGTAAGTGATAGGAGAATCCCTTTCCAGGAGAGGCTAACCTTGCCAACCAGCTATGCCAAGTTTCCTGTCACCTATGGGACCCCAGTGAACAGAGGCAGCAAAGCTATACTACCCCACAAGGGCAAGTCAACAGTTGCTCTTCCAGTCCCTTCTTTCAGAAGAGGCCAAGCTTTACCAATGTGATCTGTTCAGGTTGACACCCTGATAAAATCAGTGATAAGGACATCCTGCTCATAAAGGACCAAACCTGCTAACCAGTTATATCAACCCTGCTTGGCATGACAGAAAGGACAGTGATCAGAAATAGCAAACTATACCCCCTGTGAGGGTTCTTTGTTTTCCAAGGACTGGACACATCACAGTGAAGCAAATCTGTACAAAATGCTTTATTGCGGCACAGACCTTTCCCAACAACAGACTACTGCTCTCCACCCATCTAG